CAGCTTCGGACCTTATCGCCCCACGGCTGTGCCGCAGGATGTGTCTCCTGCTCCCCCCGAGGTGCAGGCGCCTGGTCAGGGACGATGGGCTGGAGGTGCTCATCTGTGAGGTACGGGGATGGGAGTGGGGCCAGGAGGGGTGCCAGGGGGTCGGCAGAGTCCACATGCCCCTTGAGGAGAGCCCGCTCTGGGGCAGAGCTGGGGTCAAGCACTCACAGCAGTGAGTTTTGGGGGGTCTCAGCACATGGTCAAGGCAAAGGAGGAGATGGGGCTCACTCCAAAGGTGTGGGTGCCAGGGAGGGGTGGTGGGAAGTGCAGGGGGGATCTGGCCACACCGTCCCCATGGGCTCAGCTTCAGCATCTCCCCACTTTGTGTCCAGCTCCTCCCAGTGCTGCACACACCCCCTGGGCAGGGGGCTCCCATGCAACCTCCCCCCAGCCTTGGCAGCTTTGCAGGAATCATCATTGCTTTATTGCAGCAGGTCGCAGTCAGCGTTACAGGCATGTTCAGCAAAGCCTGTGGCTTGTGCCAGCCTGGGGGGCTGGGACCCCCTGCCCTCCCCAGCTGGGCTCTGTGCTTTGTGAGCGGGGGGCCAGGGACGCCCTTCCCCTGGTTTCTTGCCAGTCCCCTGGCCCAGCCCTCCTCCTGGCGTGGGGGGATGCTCCGGGAACAGGTCAGGGCAGCAGTGGGAGCCCCCCGGCACTCTTCAGCGCGGCCTTCCCCAAGCAGCAGCGTGGGTGCTCTGGCCGTGCTGGCAGCAGCAAGCCGTGGCGTGAAGCCGGGTCCCTGGGGACGGCTCAGCGTGTGTCTCCCTCCACAGCCGCAGAGGCCATAACGCTGTCGATCCAGGCCACGTACGGGGCGATGCGGGTGTAGATGGTGGGTTTCTTGTAGTTGCCGCAGACGCGGGAACCGGCCGTGACCACCCCCTCGGCCACCCCGTTGCAGACCAGGGGGCCGCCGGAGTCTCCCTGCAGGACCAAGGCCCATCAGCACTGCTGTGGGTTTGCTGGCCCGTCCCAGCCCATCTCCCACCCTGGCAGCGGGGCTGGGGGTCTCTGACTGACCCAAGCCTCTGCGAGGGGCAGAGCTTCAGCCCCTGGGTGCTCTCAGCCACAGGTTTCACCTGCAGGAGCTGTGGGTTTGGGTCAGTCCCGTCCCCCCTCGCCAGCCCTCGTTCGTCCCCTTGCTCTGCTGACAGCCCAGACCCCCGGCTCTGCCAGGACGTGGTGGGGCAGGCAGGGGGGCTTTCAGTGTGACCCGTCAGTGGGTCCCCTTGGGGTGCTCTGGGTCGTGCCTGTGGCCTCATCCCTGTCTCCAGGCTCACAAGAGCTGCTTTGCCGCAGCCAGCACAGGACAAGGAGCCCCCATCACCCTGTCAACTGCGATGGGCATTGCAGCCCCACACCCTTGCCTTTTCCAGGTTGCAAGTATCCTTCCCCCCCGCCCCGCCACTCCCAGACCCCCGAGGGGGTCGGCAGCCCCAGCCCCTGGGTCCGGCTGTGGTTCTGTGTCCTGGCAAGGAGGGGGCGGGAGGCCGGGGTGAGCGGTACCTTGCAGGTGTCCTTCCTGCGGGAGTCCGTGCACATCATCTTCTCGGTGATGGTGTGGTCGTGGCGGGTGCGGTGGTTGCAGACGTCGCGGCTGATCACCGGCCGCTCCACCTGGTAGAGCTTGTCCGGCCGGTGGCCGCTGTGGCTGATGGTGCCCCAGCCCGCCACCTCGCACACCGTGTCAGCCGCCACGTCCCTGTCCTCCCGCTGGAACGGCAGCACCTGCACGTGCGTGTTCAGCTCCGCTTTCTCTTCCAGCTGCCATGAAGAAAGAGGGGAACCGGCTCAGCAGGGGCCAACAACGGCCCAGGACCCAGCAGGGCACAGCGAGCCCAGCCCTGACACCGGCACTGCCCCAGCCTTGGCCGTGCTCAGGGCTTCACCTTCTGCCTGCAGCCCCCGGGACGCAGCTGGAGACCAGAGCTGCAGCCGTGAGGACCATGGGGAAGACGGAGGCGTTTGGACACAGCCCAAAGGTCTTTGGTGGGGGAAGTGGGGACGGTCCCATGGGATGGGGAAGGAGGGATAGGGGAACCGAGCAGTCCCAGGGTGGCCTCAAGGGTTTCCTCCCACTGCGGTCAGTGACCCCGCGGTGTCCCAAGGGGCAGAAGGATTTGCAGGAGTGGGGCTGTGCCTGTCGGGTAGCGGGAAGGAGAGTCCCAGCCAGGGTCCTGGCAGCCCCGAGCCCACCTGGAGGAGGAGGAGGTCGTCCTTGTTGTTGTGGATGTTGCTGCCAGGGTGGGGGATCTGGGCGCGCACCCGGTACAGGCGTTTGTGTGGCTCCGGCTCTGTGAGCGAGTGGGCGCCAAGGAGGACCTGGAAGACTTTGCCGTCCCTGGAAGAGAGGCAGCATGTGGGGTGTGGGGGCTCTGCCCACCCCGTGGGGCACACAGAGCAGGGGGTGTTGCTGCACCCAGCCATGGCAATGGGGTGCCAGAGAGCCCCCCCCACAGGGTGCCACGAGCTCCCAGGGGTCCTGCAGCCCCTGCCCAACCCTCACAGCAGGTGGGAGCAGAGCCCTAGTGCTCCAACACTGGGGGTCAGGGCTATGGAGCAGGATTTGGCCTGAGGCCAGCAGCCACCCCCCAGCATGGAGCAGCCCCCACACTGACACAGCCCCCCTCCCGCACTCACGTCTCCTCAGTGCAGTGCGCAGCGCTCAGCACCCACTCCTCGGCGATGAGGAAGCCCCCGCAGACGTGCTGCCCGTCCAGCTGCAGCGAGGCCATGTACGGCCTCAGGTGGGGCTTGGCCTCATAGCCCCCCAGGATCCGTCCCCGGGGCTGCCCTGTTGCAGGCAGGAGAGAGGCTGGGTTAGCTGGGCATCGGCCCAGCCCGCCCAGATAGAGCATGGGGCAGGGTTACCCCGGCGGTTCCCCCCTGACATCTCTGGACCCCTCCTCGTGGGCCACGGCAGCACCTGGCTGCAGACGGAGGCAGGAATTGGGGGGTCAGGTGGGACCCCCTGTGCTGGGGACATTGCTGCCCCAGCCTGTCGCTGTCCTGGGGTGTGGGGGGGGGGCACTCACCATTCACCATGGCCCCTAGCAGCAGCAGAGCGAGGATAAGGATGGGAGTGGGACTTGGCCCCATGGCTGCAGTGGAGCCCAGTGGTGCCTCTGCCCTGGCTGTGGGGTCCGTGGGGCAGACACTGCTCGGCCGGGGCTGGGGCTTGCTTTTATGTCCAGCTTTGGGGCTGCAGGGGGGCCAGGAAGGGGCAGTGCAGGGGAGCGGGGGGGGGTTTCCGCAGCGTGGGCTGAGTGTTTTTAAATATTCAGCTTATAAAAGGGGTCAAGAGTTCCCGGCATAAACAGCACGGGAGGGAGGAAACAGCCTGTCCCAGCTGCCGGAGCTGGCACCCGCCACCGGGGATTTCTTGCACCGTTGTTTTCAAAGCCGAAACCGAATCCCGCTCTTGGCACGGGAAGGCTCCGGCCCATGTGGCAGTGTCCTGGCTTGGCCCCGGCCCCCCCCCCCGGACCAGGGACCCCCCGATCCGCCCGGGGAGGATGGCCGGGGGTGAAGCGGTGGGTGCTGGGTGCCGGCTCGGTGGGTGTCCGTGGCCGTGGGGCAGAGCCGAGCACCCCCCCAGGGTTTGCCCTTGGGGCTGGCGAGGACGAGGACAGCGGGGTCGGGACCACCAGCGCCTGGGGGGGGGGGGTCGCCAGGGGGG